TTTCATTTGAAAATCGAAAGTAATTACCACTTCCAGTGAAACCGGAAGTGGGAAATAAAACATATTCATGTCAAAACGTGACTTTTACCAAGTTGATGGGTCATTCCAAATTTCGATCACTTACCTCCAAAATATTTCAAGATGAGTATAGGACATTGTAGATGTAATTTGTCTAGAATTTTCTGAAGAATAAAAATTGAATGAAATACAGAGTATTGCTTCGAAATAAGAAAGTTGGTATTGGCCGATGTAACATGACACAGCCTGTAGGGAAAGTTTTTGTTGAAAGAAAAGCGCTTCTAAAAACATCAATCGACATGTCTGAGCTATTTTTCCAACATGCCCCCCGCCCTCCCCCGTTTATTCATTATCGAATTTATTCCATTTGGCTGATATACACACTGTATGAACAAAATCAATCCGAAATCACTCATAGGGATATCTTGAAAACTGTTAGTTCTCTAATTTCTGCCTGGTTCTACTATCATATTGGGTGGGAAAGATAGGGATATTGGGAATCTTTATTAATACACATACAAAGCAAATACAAAGTAACAAAATTATTGATACATTGAGAAAACTAATGACCCAGTTATCATAAGTAATCAAGTACCTAACATTGCTTTATTAACGGTCCAATTTTTGTCATTCTATTTCTGCTTGTCCTCCATTATCCTCCCTCTGCTTGTGATCGAAACTGTTGTCAACCATTCATAACTGATCAAACCTGGTTTTGCTCTACGAAACAACCCTGAAAACAATGATTTGTGATTGTACAGGGTGAGTAAAACTCGGCTGGTCCATTTCAATCCAAATTCGATCATTTTGCCATATTTGGAAACAGTATTGATGACAATCGATTTTTATTTTGGAAACGCATATTCAAAAATAACTATTAAAAAAAATCTTAAACATTAGTATTATTTCAATGTATCTGTAGTAGTGACATATCGAATTAGTTGCCCCAAATGTCACTGTGCTTACAATTTTTCCATTAGAAACCTAAGAGATAATTTCAATCGAAAGTCAGTGACACACTGTTTGAAAAATTTTTGAAGAAAAAGGTTATAGATTTATTGAAAATGATAAACTTTCATCAATCTTTGGACGTTTTGGAAAACGGATCTACTACCGCTTTCAACAAAATAATGGAAAATAATGCTTCTCGTTTTTGTATTTTGACAGTTCTTCCATCAAAAAGTCATAAGCTATTCTTAAAATTATATATATAAAAATTCGCAATTTGTCATGATTCAAGCCTTTGAAAAGATAGCCTAAAATGTTTTCGTTTTCTTTTCAAAGAGTTTCAAAAATTCTCAACATATAAATTCCGACTCTCATCTTCGCCCTTTTACATGCTAAATTTCAGCCAAGCAGCACTGAAAGCCCTAAAATCATTTGTTTTCACATCAAAGATTACGTGGGACTGCTTTGAAACACTCATGCAACTGGGAAAGGGCAACAAAGTCACACTTATGTGGGTTCCAGGGCATGAAGGAATCAAAGGAAATGAGGCAGCTGATCGCCTTGCAAAAAAAGGTGCAGCATCTGCACTTTTTGGTCCTGAGCCTTTTTGTGGGATAAGTAAATGTCACCTAAAGGGAGAACTCGGGAAATGGGAAGAAATTGAAAAGTCCTCCTACTGGAGAGCAACTCCAGGTCAACGACAAGCGAAAAGGTTCATCAACCATTCGCAGAACCGAGCCAAAGAGCTACTCAGCCTCAGCAAACCAGAGCTAAAGCTTATCACAGGCTTTCTCACAGGACACGGCCCTCTGAGGTACCACCTCAAAAAGATGGGTCTGGCGGACACTGACACTTGCCGCTTTTGTAACAATGCGACCGAAACCGCGGAACACATACTTTGCTCATGTGAAGTATTAGTCCGCCAAAGGCTGAACCACCTAGAACAGGTCTATCTCACCCCTGCTGAAGTGGAAAAGTCAACCGTCAGGAAAATCGTAGGCTTCATCAGAAGTCTAGGGTTGGAGGACCAAAACTAGATAGGGGTAATCACAATAGATCTAGGTCGCAGTGATCGAGAGGTCTCCCAGCCTATACGACCCATCTACAATCTACCCATAAAATAAGTGAAGAAGATTGAAATGTTAAAGAATACCACCGATTAACAGATTTTCAAAAGAAATCTTCGAAAATGTCTGAATTGTCACTAAATATGGAAAAATATGTAAATTTTATTCAAAATGGACCCTTACTCGCAGCCATTTAGGAACCTGTTTTCAGAAATTGTCTAAATCAAGTTCGCTCGCCCTGTGCATGGAAATTCAAAATATTCTACTAGTGAACAACAAGTAATATAGATGAGAATTAGTAGTGTTATTCAGCTGATGTTATTTCCAGTATCGTCATTAGGGGGATATGTATGTCTCACTAAATTGGAACCATATGGAAAAATACTTTCTTATTATTCATTTTAGGAAAAAAGTTATTCTTCAAAAAAAGTACTGCATGTTCTTAAATCTAAAATATGCGGTGTGTCAGAAAATGTGGATTGTTCTCAATATGCAAACATAAAATATAGCTTTCAATATCATACAGAAATTCCTCAAAGCTTTTATTGGCCATTGTTAATTTCTACGTTCCAAAGTGAGACCTAGAATGATTCTAATAATTTCCTCAAATAAGTTGTTGCGTGATATCTCATGTTTGTTACCTATATTGTTCTTATTAGTTTGAAATAAGGATCAACTCACCTTTATCAACATTTTACTCTGCGGAAACTGCACTCAGTTTGGGATTCTAGCAGTTTTTATTCGAGGTTATCTTATCTGCTCATCAATCAAGAATCAAGATGATATAATGTTCATAATACCTGTGAAACAGCTTTGTTAGCCAGCTCTATACATATAAATCTTATAATTCCAAGTGATTTGAAAATTTTATTATCATGGTTATCATGTTATAAATTGTGTATAAATTATAGGAAATCAACATTTATGTTCATCTCAAAAAAATCAAGATATAATAATAATTTCAAATTTCCAATCGCATGTAATAATGAAGTCATCAAATATTCAAATAATATTAAGTTTCTTGGGCTGTACATGAATCAAAATTTGTCATGGTCAAAACATATTGAAATACCTAAATATCTCCAATAATAGGTATACTTTTTAGGGTACGGAATCAAGTTTCTATAAAATGTCTGAAATCGATATACTTCTTCTTGATCTATTCTAAACTTGACTATTTGATTTCTGTATGGGGATCAACAAAACTATCAGTTATGAAGCCTCTCAAAACTCTTCGAAATAAAATTATCAAATGTATATAGAGAATAAATTATTTGGAAACTACTAAAAACCTTTACAAAAGAAGAGAGTTATTAAATATAGATTCACTATAGCAATTCAAATTAATAGTAGTCACCACAACCATACAACTAGACAAGCAGATCATTTTTCCGTCAAGAAAATGAAATCAGATATTGGTAAAAAATCCATTTATCACAATGGAATGATACAATACAATTCACTACCAAATAACTTGATTCATGAGTGTGTCTTATTTTACTGTCTCTTTTATTTTGTTGAATATATTTATACAAGGTGATTCTAAAATAGGTGGTCAAACTTTGGGAGCATATAGAGTGGGTGAAATAGTTACGAAAACCTCTGTAATATTTTTTTCTGAAGTGACCCCCAAGAAAGATACAGCCCCTGAAAGGGGGGCCTCGGAGAATGATTTCGTATTATTATCTCCAACACCTTGTATAATGAAGATCTGAAATTTTGTCTATTCACTTATTATTCAGTGCTGGTTCGAATGGAGTTGAAATCACTTCAAAATAAAATACAGGGGTTTGTCAAAATAGGGAGGTAGGGGGTAAAAATAACCCCAACTTTTTTGTTCATCGCAATTTCAGTTTTTTGACATGAAATTATGAAATCTACATACAAAAATGGATATATATTAATATGAAGCAATACATTGAGAATTCGCATTTTTTTCCACGTCATGTATGATGAATGTCAATTTATCATACACCCAAAAATAAAAAAAGCTTGTTTTCAACAATATTTTTTATTTTAGTGCCTTCAATAGGATCACACCATAATCACGAAACTGGTCGTCTATTTTTAATTCATCAATTCCGACAACGAATTCAGAATTTCCAACCCCAAAAACCCTTACAAACCAAATTTGAATCGAATCATAGTCACAAATCTGGTCAGCCACATTGGAGCCGCCATATTTTTTCTATCAAAAAGTCCATAACGCGTTGTCAACTGTCATCTGCCAGATTCCAAGTTGATCAGACGATTAGAAGTAGGTAAAAATTCAGTTGCAAAATTTGAACTAGATAATTAAACTTAAGTGCATACCAAAATTGTAACTTAAATGAAATCTTGGAAAAATAAATTTTATTCGCTAATGGTTCAGTTTATCGAGATTCAACAAGAGCTCATTTTCTATGATGATAGCCCTGAGATTTCATAATTTCATGTAAAAAAACTGAAATTGCGATGAACAAAAAAGTTATTTTTACCCCCTACCTCCCTGTTTTGACACACCCCTGTATTCAATTCTGAGGTGATTTTAACTCCATTCGAACCGGCACTGAATAGTTAGTGGATAAACAAAATTTTAGATTTTCATCATACAAGGTGTTGGAGATAATAGTACAAAATCATTCTCCGATGCCCCCCTTTGAGGGGCTGTATCTTTCTTGGGGGGCACTTCAGAAGAAAATTTTACCGAGGTTTTCGTAATTATTTCACTCACTCTATATAAATACTTCCAAAGTTTGACCACCTATTTTAGAATCACCTTGTATATTCACCATCTTCCCTGCTATAATCAAAATGTTGTTTCTTGGGAATAATAAAGTTGATTGATGGATATTTACTTTTATACAATAATAGTTTAGCCAATGTAATTTTTTTTATGCCAAAAACTTATAGATTATGTATGACTGAAAAATAAAGTGCTCTCACAAATATCCGGGAACAATATTCAAACATCAATTTTGTTTTCAGATTACAAAACTGAGTATTGCATACCAAAAGCTGCTTTGGAGAAACTTCAGTGCGCTGACAATCAGGAATACAAAGACAGCGTTTCGTGACGAACATGGAAATTATTGTAGATCCAGAATCGCTAGGTAGGTACTTAGAAAAAAAATTAGTCTGTGATGAACACCCAAGTCCAGGAATCTCATATTTCATATAGCCCTGTAAATCCTAATATTCTTTCAGGAACCTTCACAATCTGTAAGTTTATTTTAGCGCATGGGAATCTTTATAATAATTCCAAAGCTTCTCCATTTTATAGACTCGAGTTTTGCTGAAGAGTTATCGAAATATCTAGAAGTTGACTAGAAATAATCATCAATTTTGTTCATAATCCATTTGTGGTTTTTTACACTATGTTGTACCTTCTATTTTATTCTATATCCTTTCCACAAACTGCGGAAACGGGGCATTTTCATTTTCATTTGCACTCAAAAATTTGTATCACTTATAATCAGAGGCCAAGTTATGATCATCTCATGGGAGTATTACTGACGGAAATACCGAGCGATATACAATATTTTTTCCATTTTACAAGTTATCTTTATTTCTTTGTAAGGTCGAAACCAAAGTCAGTACTAACGAACCATAAATTATAATTTCTTAACGTGTGGTTCATATGTTGTTTTGCGAGTCACTTATAAACACGAGAGCTTTTTTTTGATGAAGTAAACTTGACATTTCAATGAGAATTTTGTTATTGAAAATGAATATTCTCAGATATATTTATGAACACAAAAACATGGATATATATATATATAGAGAAATACATTGAGAATTCGCATTCTCTATGTGATGAAAATATTAATTCTTTCTCGGTTTATTCAACAGAAAATAACTATTCTCCTGGCTATATGCCACGAGGAATATTGAATTACATCTATTGAAGACACACGATAAGAATTTGAAAACAAAATCTTCTGAGGTAGAGAATTTGCATTCTCCTTCTTCTTCTTCCTCTTCGAAGCACTGGTGGGCGGGTGAACCCCCTGCACGTGGGCCTCCTTATTCGGGCCCATTGTGCGCCCACATGTTACGACATTCAGCTGGGTATGCCGACTGCCTTGGAGAAGTTCAGCAGCATCCTCAGCTGAATCTCTTTTACGTCCTCTGGCCTCAAAATCATGATGCGTCAGTGCTGGACACTCAGTGAGGACATGTGATGACGTTTCGTCATCTTCCAGGCACCATCTGCAAAGGGGGTCATCCTTGATCCCAATAAGCTCTAGGTGCCTATTGAGGTGGTTGTGCCCCGTTAGGAGCCCCACTACCATTTTTGGGTTTCGCCTGTTTAGGAATAAAACCTCTTTTGCGAGCCTCTTCGAAGGTTCCTTTATGTGGAGCTTCGATTGTCTCATTCCTGGTGTGTCCTGCCATATTTTGAGGAATTGCTTTTGCAGCTGTTCCTCTGTAGAGGACATTGCCAGGCTATTTGGTATTCCCAAGATTGGTTCCGGTCCGACCGAGGTCCGTCCTGAACCGATCTTTGCCAGTCTGTCTGCCTTCTCGTTTCCGGGTATTCCCGAATGTCCCGGGACCCACATGAGGCTTACTTTTCTTGATTTTGCCAGGTTTTCCAAGGCTTTTCTGCACTCGGACACCAAATTGGATGTGATCCTATTGGATTGCAAAGCCAGTATTGCAGCTTTGCTGTCCGAGCATATAGTGATTGGTCTACGACCTCTCATAATTATGTTTTCTTGGACACAGGTGAGTATTGCAAGTACTTCTGCCTGGAACATTGAGGCATATTCGCCTAAAGGAACTAAAATTTATTTCCCTGATCCTTCATTGTATACCCCTGCACCTGAACTGCCCCCAAATTTTGAGCCATCCGTGTACCAGATTGACTCATTAGGAGGAGGCACGCCAGGTGTTGTGTCATTTCATTCTTCCCTCGTAGGGATGACAGTGTTTGGGGCTTTGTTGAAGTTCAGAATTGGCAAGGTATTATCCCTTCTCATCATGAGGATGGGACAGTTTTCCTTTGCCTTATTCCTTCTGTTCCGACCCACTGGTTTGCACCGTTGAGTCGATAAGCAGTTCTCATGGCTTCGTGTTGTATGAACAGGTGTAGAGACGGCAGACTTAACAGAACTTCAAGAGCCCTGGTAGGCGTCGTTCTCAGAGCACCCTGTTATTCCCAGGCAGGCCAGTCGCTGGACTTTATACAGTCCTCTGTTGGTCTTGCCCTTATTGGTACTGGTCCACCATACAATGGACCCGTACGTAAGTGTTGGGCGTATTACTGCCGTGTATATCCAGTGAAGGGTCTTATTCTAAAAAATCATGTAAACATTGATATCACTTCTTTCCACCCGTTTTTTGACGCTTCACATATAGAAAATTGATTACTAATTGAATTACAACGTTCAATCGCTGTGGCATCTAATTGATCAAATCTGTCAGGCAATCTTGAGGAATTGCCCCAAATTCTCCGTGAAGGGTGAATGCCTCTGCAGTGCAACCCAAACATCCTCGATAGGTTCCAAATTATTGTTATTTTAAATTGAAAATAAAAAACTTCCCTAGATCCCGTGTGTTTTCTCTTGAAAAGAAGATATTGACGTGAATCAAGAACCATGATTTTAAGAAGGGACGGAAAGGGATCACATTCAAATCCAAAACATGACGAAGCAGAAAGTTGGAGAATGGTTCTAAATTATTGTTAAGAAATAATGGATATTAAAGAATCTTCTGTAGTAGTCCATGCTCAAAGTGGAGTGGAATGATATCAATAGAGAAAGAAACCCAAAGTCGTCTCCACAATATTTAATTTATAATCTAGCAGTCAATCCTGCTTCATTGGTAGATACATGTTTCGGCCATTCAAATGGCCATCTTCAGTCAAAAGAATACAACAAAGTGCATGTGGAAATACTTCAATGCATCATGAAGGCGAAAAAATTCCTCATACATCCATTTTATCAAATTTAAATAATAAATAATGATTTAGTAATAACAAAATAATTTTTTCGCCTTCATGATGCATTGAAGTATTTCCACATGCACTTTGTTGTATTCTTTTGACTGAAGATGGCCATTTGAATGGCCGAAACATGTATCTACCAATGAAGCAGGATTGACTGCTAGATTATAAATTAAATATTGTGGAGACGACTTTGGGTTTCTTTCTCTATTGATAATGGATATTAAAAAAAACATATTTTCTCAAAACACTTGTATCGCTTCTCAAAAAGAAGATATTCACGTGACTCAAATAATTGTGTTAAGCAAAGTTCACACTTCTATCCAAAACATGAAGAAGCTTGTTGTTGCAAATAAAAACAATTACTACTTCCAACTTCAACACCTTTGCAGCCTTGCTGGTTAGCAGAATATGTGATGACGATGTCAAACTTCAACATCGCCTATTGACGTTTGGAGTGTCAACAATTTTTGGCATTTGAAGAATGAGTTTACCATCCTCCTACCATAGCATGTTAATACTTTCATCATTCCTAGCTCCAATATAATTTCGAATGAGAACCTTGACTTGGGTGCGATTACTTAGTTTTGTTTGAATAATTTTATGTTCATATTTGAACTATTCAGGTAGAATAGGTATTTATTATTTAATTAATTCATTTGAATGGTATACTGCCTTAGATTGGCGAAAGCTTATCAGGTGTGATTTAGTGTTTTATTCCATTGTTATTAATTGGGTTTTATATTTTTATTGAACGTTGAACTGTTTTATATGAGAAACTACACTTCCCAAAAAAAATTAACACAGCACCATAATTTTTGGTAGTGCGTTAATTTCTTGGGGAAGAGAAAATGAGAAAATCACGTCAACAATGGTATGGGTTAGTGTCCTACCTTATTCACCTTGTTTATCAGAAAAGTCACTTGTGCTTTTGACAAATTCCAAATGGAATTTGAATCTCAATTTTTGATAACTAAATCTCGAGCACATTCAGTGCTAATGTTCAAAAATGGCTCAATAGAGAAGTAGCTCTCAACAAATCTTTTTTTTAGTGTAAGTGAGAAGACTAATTTCATCGTTTTCGTCATGGTGCAAAAATTGTACAGAGAATTTTTTGTATAAATTCTTATTATATTATATACCAGCAGACCTCGCAAACGTTGTTTTGCTATACAGTGTGTCCCACTTACCATGCTCACCATGGGTATCTTTTTAACGGTCGGAGATCATGATTTTCTTGTTAAAATTTATAAATTCGAGATGGCGACTTCCAAATGATTTTTTTGTTTTTGTATAAATGACGATAACTCCGTTGTTATCAACACAAAACTATTACTGCGACATATCATCTGTAAGAGAAAAAAAAGTTATTTGTAATTAAGTCATAGTGAGCTATGACCTACATTTGAAAAACTAAAGTTGGTGCTGATATCTCAAATTCTAGAAGAGTTGGTATAAATTTCATATTTTTTTCGAAATCACTTTGAAAAACTGCCATGAGAATGTGAAATTCCTATTTGAATATCTTCATAAATAAAAAAGTTACGGAGGAGACATGAAAATGATCAAAATCTGTTTTTTGCGTATAAAACAAAAAAGTAGATTTTATCAAAATATTTTTCCACATTATAGTTGGCCTTGACAAACTCCACATTTGGTGTCATTTAACCGACCTCGTATCTCTCACCGTTGAAAAGATACCCATGGTGAGCATGGTAAGTGGGACACACTGTATGCATTATTATATTTTTTCAGTTCAATATTCATCAAGACACTATTATTATTTCATTTTCTACTTCTTTTTAGTTTCGCTTTCTATAAAAGCTTGTTTCTTTAGTTTTTCAATCTACCATTTATTTCAACTTCTTTTTAGTTAACTTGAATTTCCCAATTTTAACGAAAGAATCATAATATCCTTCTCCTAAAACCCCAGATGAAAATTTTTAATAGAATCGGAACATAATTACAAAACTCGCTTTAATCCCGAAAACGCCCACTTACAAGTTTTGAATAGAATCGGTATATATAATTACGAAACGCGCCCGGTATATTGGTTCTACCGTCCTTGATTTCCAAATCCTGCCCTTTCCGAATTTTGACAAAAAAATCATAATCTCCGACCACGAAAACACCCAGATAACAATTTTGAAGTGAGTGAGGTCATAATTACAATACTCGTCCGCCATATTGGGTCCGCGATCTTGAATTTCCTAATTTTGACGAAAGAATCATAATCTCCGATCCCAAGAACCACCAGATACCAAATTTGAATGAAATCGGATCCTAATTACAAAATCCGCCATTTTGGATCCGCCATCTTGAATTTGTTAATTTTGACGAGGAAATCATAATCCCCGATAACGAAAATCCTTAGGTACCAATTTTGAAAAGAATCGGATTATAATTACAAAACTCGTCCGCCATATTGGTTCCGCCATCTTGAATTTCCAAAATCTGCCCGAATTTTCAAATTCTGACGAATAAATCATAATCTCCGACATCGAAAACCTCCAGATACCAATTTTGAAAAGAATCGGACCATAATTACAAAACACGTCCGATATATTAGATCCGCCATCTTGAATTTCCTAATGGTACCGGGATATCCTATAACCTTCTCCTGGTTCTAAGCTACCTCCCCACCAATTTTCATCAGTAGTTTCGGAGCCTATTCAATACATATACAAACAAACAAACAATCAAACCTTTCCTCTTTATAATATAAGTATAAATTATATAAACAATTCAGAAATTTTGAAAATTGAAAAGTCTATTCGTTTAAACTTTGAATTGGATTGAGAAAAATGCCTAGAAAACGTCCGTGGAAACTTCACGTATTACGCAATAATCGATTCATCTATGTGACATGATTCACAGAAAGCAGCAATGCTGCCAAATCGAACAGACTTGTGACGTCACAATGTGTATGTCCCTGATTTTCAAAAATTAAACATGGAGAATGAAGTGCGTAGGAAAAATCTGGCGAAAATCAGTCATTTCATAGGTTAATTATTGCAATGATGTATTATTTGAAGTTCTGGAATACACCGCAGCCCATAACTTCAAAATGCCTTTCTCTGACGACGTTATTCGTTGCTTTTTCTTAGAATTCAATCATCTCAAAAAATGTGATTTTCTGCGATTACAATTATAATCTTACTCATAGTCATACATAAAGTTTCCTAATATTCTTCTAAAGGCGAGAGAAGAGCAATAGATTATACCCTCTACCATTGTTAACGTTCTTTTCATTTTATATATTTCTATTTTTATTTATTTGCAATCTTGAAATCCAACTAATTCATTTATATTATGTTGGTTCTTGTACTTAGTATTTACCACCAATATATCAACTTATGTTACCAAACAGATGAAAACACGATTTTGAAAAGAACCATTATTTGTTTTCAATTCCTCATACTTGTGCTAAACTTTGCCTGAGAAACACGAATTTGATAACGAAAATGTGAACAAACCACTATTTATCGAGATATTTCAAGAAAAAGTTCGAAATTTCGCCTTCTTTTTCCCCCTGTCTTGGATGCATTTACAGCTATACTTGCTCTTCTCATTTTGTCATTGGACACTTGATATACTCATGATGTACTTCAAGGCCATTTAATCAATAATCAATCCAAATACGAGATGTCAAATGTCAACAGATTACTTTTGAATTACACACGACATTATTTTAAATGATATTCTTTCTTCTTTTCACTAAATATGGATTAATCGCAAGAAAATCATTTTTCTAGTTGACTTTCATATAGAAAAAATGTGTCATTGAAGTACATTGTGACATATAAATTGTCCAATGATGAAAAAAGAAGGGTTAATTGTTCTAAATGCGATCGAAAAGACAGGCGGAAAAAAATGTGAAATTTGTAACTTTATAGTGAAATATCTATCTCAATAAATAATGGTTTGTTCACATTTTTATTATCAAATTCGTGTTTTCAGACAAAAATACGTAAGTACCCAAACAAATTTAACCTATGATATCTGACTGCTTCCATACTTTTTATTAGCCCTGTATAGTTGACTTCGAAACGTAAATGTCAGTGTGTGTCTGCCTTTTTGACAGGTTTTTATACTAGTGAAAGTTATTTTTCGAAATTGAAAATGTGGTGAACTCAATGGGACACTGCTTATCAAGGTGAGTTGAATGTCTATATATTCTTATTGTTTGTTTAAAATTCAAATATTAACTGTTCCAGTACTTCCAGTAGATTCTGCTTTCTGCATGAAAAAAAGGGGAAATGGAATACTTCTAATTTGGAAGAAATTATATTATTCAGGAATCGTTTTGGAAGCTTTCATAACTATTTCAGTCAACTTTATTGCAAGCTGTTTTCAGATTCAACTTTTTTAAATAGGAAAGGAAATTGGAATACTTCTTTAGGATAATCATTATAAATTATCAGATGATTTTTCAAAGTTTTCATAATTTCTCGATATTCAAAACCTGAAAAAGAAAACTCAAACAGAAAATTATTTTCCATTCTTTTTATTCACCAATAAATAATTCCTACAAAAATGTACAAAAGTAAAAACAAGTATCCCTAAAACTATCTACATGGTCTCGTCGACTTCGTTCTCCCTAGCCTTATCGCTTCCATTCATGTGCTCATCCTTCTTCATCCCTCTCGCCTCATCTTCAGCACCCCAAGGTCCACCGGCCGCCCTCCAATTTCCTGTCGCCTTCATCGCCTCATCCTTCTTGGCATCCTTGCTGTCAGAGCCCATTTCAGTGCCCCATCTACCTCCAGCTGCCCTCTGTTCCGAAATCTCCTCCATCTTCTTCAAGGTTTGGTTCTCCTTCTCGCTCTTGTCATCGGCAGCAGCCACCTGCTGCTCATCTTGCGCTTCAGCATCTCTGTAGGTAGCAGGAGCCACATAAGAAGGAGCTGCAGGAGCAGAATAAGGAGTTGATGGCTGGGGGTACGCTGGAGCTGCAGGTGCTTGATATGCTGGAGCTGCAGGTGCTTGATATGCTGGAGCTGCAGGTGCTTGATATGCTGGAGCTGCAGGTGCCGGGGCTTGGTATGCTGGAGCTGCGTGGTAAGCTGGGGCTGTGTAAGCAGGCTGTGCTGGTGCTTGGTAAGCAGGCGCTTCGTAAGTTTGTGGCTTAGCTGGAGCTGAGTAAGTTGGTGGCTTTGCTGGTGCTGCGTAAGGTTGTGGCTTAGCTGGAGCAGAGTAAGATGGAGCAGGTGCTGCATAAGCTGGAGCTTGGTACGCTGGGGCTTCGTATGATTGTGGCTTAGCGGGAGCTTGGTATGGTTCTGGCTTAGCTGGAGCTGCGTAAGATTGTGGTTTAGCAGGTGCTGCATAAGATGGAGCTGCATAAGTTTGTGGCTTAGCTGGGGCTGGGTAAGCTGGGGCTTCGTATGATTGTGGCTTGTAAGATGGAGGGTGAGCCGGTGCTTCATAAGATGGAGCTGCATAAGCTGGAGCTTCGTATGATTGTGGCTTAGCTGGGGCTGCGTAAGCTTGTGGATAAGCTGGGGCTTCGTATGATTGGGGCTTAGCTGGGGCTGCGTAAGCTTGTGGATAAGCTGGGGCTTCGTATGACTGTGGCTTAGCTGGAGCTGCGTAAGTTTGTGGATAAGCTGGGGCCTCGTATGGTTGTGGCTTAGCTGGCGCAGCGTAAGTTTGTGGATAAGCTGGAGCGGGTTTTTGATAGTACATCGGTGCAGCTGGAGCTTTGTACCCCGCAGAAGGATATGCTGGTTGTTTGTATGCTGCATAAGTGGCATGAGGTTGAGGGTATGCAGGCTGTGGAGAGTATTCGGAGGCTGCTGGTGCAGAGTACGACGGGGCAGAGTAGGCTGGGGCTGCTGGTGCTGAGTATGATGGTGCCGGGCTGTACGCTGGTTTGTTGACAGGTTTGGAAACGTGCTGGTAGCTGCCATAAGGCTGTTGCTGTGGTTTGTATGGCTGGTAGGGCCTGCCGTATCTACCGCTCGCAGCTCTGTAGTTGTAGCTCGGCACAGCAGAGGGGTGGCCATAGGTCGGTATTCCATGAGCGTAGCCAGCTAGGTTGGGTTGGCAAGTGATTACTAGGCCGTTGTGGCTATGGCCCTTCTTGGATGCAGCTGCACCGTAGCTGGCATGTGGGGAACCATATCCATGGCTATAGTGAGGCGTGTCGTAGGCTGAACGCATGTTGGTATCTTCTTCTTCTTCGTCTGAGTCTTGATTCATTCTCATGTCATCCCTTTCTTCTGCCTCCATGTCATCGCTGGATCTGTAGGTACTGTAGCTGTTGTGTGGGGTGTACGGTTTTGCTGGAGAAGCGGGGCTGGCTGCATAGGTTTTTACAGGAGCTGAGTAAGCAGCTGCGGGTTTCTGCTGGGCCTGGGCTGCCTGGTATGGAGTTGAGGGGTAGTTGGGCTGGCTAGGCGGTGCATAACCTGGCTCGCACACTTGGAAGGGTTTTTGGTCCCCGCTGGGACGGATCTCCACGCAGAATGTGGTTGTTGCTGACTTCTTCTTCCTCTTGATTTCCTCGTCTTTTTCTTTGTCGTCGTCTAGGTCTTTGATGTCTAGTTCTTGGAGTTCGGTGTGGTCGGCTGCTGCTTTTTCTATACTTTCTGGTTTCAGGCTTTTGGCGTCGATGAGTTTGTCTTTGATTTCGGCAGCTGAGATCTGTGCTGCGCAGACCAGCAAGATGCTGAGGGCGACGAATGAGACTCGCATGTTGCTCGTCTTTGGTGACTAGAGGAGTGAATGATTGGTGTTGAACGTGCCGACATTATATAGGTACACAAATATTGCAAGAGTTGCAATTCAGCGTTATACTTTTGGTTTCTCGCGGGGATTAGTTAATGAGTAAAGGTCGATTATTGAATATCACCAAGCGTTTTATGATTTTTGGCGACATTGAATTTTCATCGGTTTTTATGGAATCTTTGTGAATAATTCCCTAATGATCCTATAATCGGTCAATCCATCTAGATATTTCTTTCTCAGAATTATGAAGGAATTTGTGATTAAAATTCTTTTATCATAACAATTAAAACATGTATTAGTATAGTAACGTTATTCGTTATTCGAAAATAGTTTCTCATTATCTTCAAATGAAGTCATGAACTTTTGGCAACTAAAAAGGATGCATTTATTATTGATTTAAAAAAATAACATATTCCTGAATAAAGTTTGTTCATTTGCTCGAAACTTCTGAAAAATTAAACTCGATAAAATTAAAACTTGCCTACCTGCCAGATTTCATTTCCGAATATAAAATCAAAAAAAGTATTTCCCCAATTGAACTAAGTATTTAGAATAAATTTTCATAGTCGTTATATTTTTGTAGTGAAATTTCTGGAATTTTCAAAGACTGCACAAATATATTTCGAATTCGGTGATATTTATAGAGAGGTTTTCTCTGAAACCATGAGAAATGCTTCAATCCTTCAATTTTTCATATTAATTTACTTTCTGAAAAGATATTACATTGTTTTTGCCCTGTTTCCTGGATATTGAAGGAAGTCACAAAATTTTTTCATGAACAAAAAGTTCTGAGAAATCGATGATAATAGTCATTTATTATACAACGGAAAAGCGAAGGGAGACAAAAAACGGTGAGCTAAAATCTAATATTTTTCCCGTGTATAATACACTTATTTTTTCTGTGACAGGAAGAAAGACGAATCAATATTGAGAAGATATATTATATCAAAATCAGAAAATTATCGACGTGAAATTTTAAGTTTTCAACAGGAATGACACCTGCCTGCAATCTTTATCATTCTTTCGAAGTAATCAAATATCTGCCAGTCTAATTACTGTGGGAAAAAAGTGATTTATGAAAAGTAACATTTCATCAACATGTCAACATAAATGAAATTTAAAAAAAATTTCCCGTTACAAAAAAAATGTTTTCTATATGATAAAAATTTTTCATCGTTCACTGTGAAACCTAATCACAAAAAATTCAGAACCTCCCAAATTTGATTTCGCCATTCACTTTCAAATAGCAAATATGTACCAAAGTACTAAATTAATTCATTTTTAGCCAAACTATCTATTTATGAGAAATCTCCTGAAACAGGTTATTTTTTATTCTCAGTTTCCACATTTTTGAGGAAAATTTGAATATACAGGGTGATGCATGGAAGGCTGAATTCAAGGATATATTACACATAAGGTTTGTATAGTACGCCCGCCATATTCAATGCTATCGTAAAATACAGATGACGTAATTTCTCCTACATGAATATTATTTTGTATGTATTAATTGAATTTGAAAGAGTGCCTCAACAAACATGAAATTCGGCGGCACTGAGCGTTCTTTCCAAATATGTTTTCTTTATTTTTTCACGAATTTATCCACTACTTTACGAAAACACTTCATTTAACGGACGCACTGTATACCTATCCTGTATGCGACTTATTTTTGAATTCATCTTCTCATGGATATTTCAAAAGTAAAATAATATACAGAGTGACCCAGGGTTGAACCGCCAAACGTTTAGGATCAGTTTTTTAGGCAAAAATAAGACTTTTTCATCCGATAAGCATGTGTTCTAACTTGTTTCATTTTAGAAATATAGGGTGTCAAAGTTTTTAGAAAAAATCAGTTTTTCATTAATTACTCAAAAACCTTTGGGCTGATTTTGATAAAACTTGGCATGCTCATTTGAGGTTATAAGTGGCTCCTGTGCACTGTTTACTTAGAATAAAATTATTATCTCCAGCAGCGTTCCAGAGGGTAATATATCTATTATTAGAATAAATCAATGTACGCAACTGTTTTATTTGTATGTTTATTTTTCAAATTAAATTTTCAGAAACACAATATTTTTGTCAGATTTTTTTGTATCCCTTGATTTTTTGAAAAAATTCAATAGCTATTTTGTATAAAGCTGCGAGAAAATTACATTTCACGAAAAACGTCAATTTTGCGTTTAGATATGAAAGCGTGAGGGGCTACTTTGGTAAGCGGTTGTACAAAAAAGGACACATGCTGATAGGAACAAAGAGTCTTATTTTGCCTAAAAAACTGATCCTAAACGTTTGGCGGTTTAACCCTAGGTCACCCTGTATATAGGGTGTTATATTTGTCGCAGACATTACAACTCACCCTGTATATTCAATTTTTCCTCATAAATGTTGCAAATTGAAAATGAAAATCGACCTATTTTAGGAGATTTCTCAGAATTAATTAATCCCACTACATCACAAGAGCACTGTTTACAAACCCTATGTATAATATCATTTTGAATGGAGCTCTCCATGGAGATTCCAAAAATCGTTTTTCAGAAAATTCCTCAGGAATGGTTAGTTTGGCTAAAAATGAATTTATTCAGTAGGTACAGGGTGATTCACCATAAATGTCCCACTAGCTCACTTATTTTTGAACCATTTTAAAAATTTGAAAGATAATCTAAAATGATTTTTCTGAATTTTTTTTCCTATCGCATCAGAAAATACAGGGTGCTCGGAACAAACGATCTACAGAGTACTAATTGATTTTTTTAAATGGAACACCCTGTATTTTATTGCATTTTTAGATTCTTCCTGAAGAGCTGATTTCATCAATGTATCACACTTGGGGTTTAGCGGGAATGATTACAGAGATATAGGGTGTTCAAAATCGAGATTTTTCAACTTTAGGATTTTTTTGTGCCGAAACTATTCATTATTGGTCAAAACGGCTTTTATGTTCCCATCCCAACTTTCGATTTACTATCTAGTGAAATTTAATTGGAACATTTACAGGGTGGTTCAAGATTCAGAATTCTGGTCACCCTGTATCTGTTCCAATTATTGAATGTCAGTAGATAGTAAATAAAAAGTTGAGATACGGCCATGAAAACCGCGTGACCGATAATGAATAGTTTCGTCACAAAAAAAATCCTAAAGTTGAAAATCTCGATTTTGAACACCCTATATCTCTGTAATCAGTCTCGCTAGACCCCAATTGTGATGCATTGATCAAATCAGCTCTTCAGGGAGAATCTAAAAATACAATGAAAAATAGGGTGTTCTATTTAAAAAAATCAAATAGTACCCTGTAGATCGTTTGTTCCGAGCACCCTGTATTTTCTGATCTAGCGGAAAAAAACTTTATCGAAAATCATTCAAGATGATATTTCAAATTCTAAAATCGGTTCAAAAATAACTGAGCTAAGGGGGGGACATTTATGGTGAATCACCCTGTACGTGTAATCAGAAATTATCTTTTCACTAGAAAACTGAGCTCAGACACTTGAGTATGTCATTATATAATTTTTATATTTCATTTCATCACTCTCATGACTCATTTTAAAAAAATTATATTCTTTGTATGTGTACAGGGTGATGAAATCCGCAAATCCGATATCTGTCTTCGTTTCGGAATAACAAGGTGTTTTACGAAAATTGGCATTCCTGAAAAGTGGCCACAGATATTTTTTTGGCAAAAATCGTCTGTTCTTATGAAAATAACTGCAAAGCATTGAATTTTTGATGAAAATTGTTCTAAAGGCACTGAAATCGGAATCCTATATCTTGTTCAAGAATATTACTTGTTCTTCTTGAAAAAAAAAGTTTTATTTTGCAACTAGGTATACGGTGACTGGTTCCATGACAAACACAATGCTTTGAAAATGTTTTCATGAAAACAAATAATTTTTGACAACAAAAGCCACTTTTCAAAAATTTACATTTTTGAAAAACACCTTGTAACTCTAAAATAAAGATAGATATCGATATGGGGTTTTCACCTTTGAGTTTTCTATCTTTGGCCCACCCTGTAACATAGTAAGCCCCTGTATCATTTTTTGAATTGCTTTTGTTTAGTTTCAGTTTTTTCAAATTATTCTGTATTTACAGCAATTCATTCGAATAATAAGTCAGAAACAGTGTAAAAAAATGTATTCATTTAAATTAGTATAAAATCATCCTACACACTAAAGAAATATTCATGAATTTACACATCGAACATACTGAATTGTTCAGTCAAAAAATAAAGTTAGTGTCAAAAATGCTTAGGATTTAGAAATGTATTTTCAGGTATCATTCTGAATCTACTTGAGTAAATACCACCGTTTTAGTGATCGATCAATGCTTAAAATAATAATAATGAAAATGATTTCAGCATGTTTTATACCGTTGTCATACTAGACAATGTCTAGACATTCGAGTTTCAAAATGTTACCTGAGTTTTTGAACCAATTCTTCATATTTCAAGTCAATGATTATTTCGTTAGAATTCAACTATGTACAATTATCAAAAATTGACAAATAACCTCTTGGCTTCGATTTATCAGGAGGGCTCCTTCTATTTCTCTTTGAAATTATTCACTGACATTTTTTCAATCTCCCATTTTTGTTTCATGTTATAACTCATTTCCATTTTGTATTTCAGGCATTTTTTTCTCCCTTTTGGATACACCCATCTTCTCAGAAACAAGTTCTGAAATGACAGCCTCAGAAGAGTTAAGTCCTCTAGTTGAATTTTTCTTCATTTTACTCTTAGTAGTGGTTGTAGTACTTTCAGATTTTATTTCTTCTTTGAGTTCTGAGTCTCCTTTCAGTGATTTAGTCTTAGTTGGTTTTGGAAAATTTCCGGTACTCACTGGACGTACTGTAGAAGATTCTACAAGGTCACCGGAAGATTGTTTACTTATGCCGTGAGTTTTCTCAGGCTTCTTGTTTGATTGCTGATCAGCGATTTTCTGATAATCTTTCAACATGTGAGGGTTGGATTCCACATATTTTCTGATAATGTCCAAGAACTGTTCCA